GGAGGTGTTCCAAATGGAGCTTTGTGGCACAGTCTCAGCTACTTACATTTCTAATTTCTTTGATAAGCTCCAAACCTCATTAGGCTGTCAAGAACATTTGGTCGTCTCCTTCCAATCGCACGTATTTTTTTTTAACATACCAAGACCCTTGGAGGCAACCTCAGATTCCTCCCCTTTCAGCCCACACACTGACACTCCTTTTGCTGCCAAATTCATTCAATGATGCCACAGACCCAGGAAGAAATTATTGTAATCACCTCCCACAAGGGATTGGGCTCAGGTAACAGATCTTGTTTGGCATGGAAGCGAAAACAGTGTAATAAAATATTTTACTAACGTGCTTGTATCACTGTTATATCCAGCCCAATTCTCAGCGCACAGCATCTTCAAGACGTAAGAAAATACTGTATCTGCTATTCCTACGCTTGATCATCGCTGTTACCAACCAGCATCTTTCTGAGCATGGGTCTACGTTGACTTCAGGAAGAAGCCTTATACTTAAATTGTACTTCTTTTAAATTATAAATTAAGAAGCTTCCAGTCTTAAGAACATTTCCTTCAGGGTAAAAAGGTTGCCTGATCCTCAACTATTAAGAGTGCTCTTATGTACAAATACCCCTGGGAAAAGTAACACCATACTTTGAAAGCATTCTAAGTCTAATGACAGAGCAGAATTTTTCCTGACAACAAGTTTTCATTATGGCACGGCGGAAAGATCTCGAGAACGAGAGTGACTCAAACAGGAGGACAGAAGAGCATCTAAGATGAGAGGACAGAAAAAAGTCACAGGAAGAGATGCAGGTGCTGGGAGAGACCAAACCTAACATACCTCATAGTTTGGGCTATGCTATCTCCAATGTTTGGTCTTCAATGTGTCAATGCCGTATCTTTACAAGTAATAAAAATCAAGGTTATTATCATTTAAATATCCCTCATGCAAAATGGTTGGGGCCAGCAGTGTGTTGGATTTGGGATTTTTTTTTTTCAGATTTTGGAATATTTGCATATACAGAATGACGTATATTGGGTGAAGGGACCAAAGTCTAAACACAAAATTCATTTATGTTTCATATACACCTTATACACATGGCCTGGAGGTAATTTTATTCAATATTTTTAATAATTTTGTGCATGGAACAAACTCTGTATTAAGTACTTATATGTGGAATTTTCCACTTGTGGCATCATGTCAACACTGAAAACATTTTGGATTTTGGAACATTTCAAATTTCAGGGTTTTGTAGTAGAGATGCTCAACCTCTTTTGAGTAACTAGGAGAAAAAGAACTAGAATCATTTCAGGATAGACGCATTTCCACCTATTTTCCTAGGAAAATACATCCTCTTACTGAAGCATTTAAAGTCAACCTTGGTTAAATTATTCACAGTGGCCAGACCATATGTTTCTTCCCAATACAAGGTCATGCAGCTGAATCCTAAGTGGGAAGTAATTTCTTGATCTCCTTTTTCTCAGCAACCTGTCTTAATCAACAGCCCCGACGATATATACTGTGTATAAAAGTAATTTAGGGACTTCCGTGGAAGCAACTCTTTAAGGAAATGAAGTAAAGAGAAAAAGGTTAAAATGCACATACAAGCTGCAATTTGTTGGAAAGGTAATGCATCAGTATCTGTTTCTATAATTCACAGCACTCAGAGTATATATTTTTGGAGTAAGTGTCCTGCCAATTAAACTCTCCACTTGTGGTCCTGTTATAACAGTTTCATTAGAGGCAAATGCCTTTAAATCTTAGTGCTTTCAGGCATTCATCTGAACTCACTCATGAGTAGGCTTAAAGAAATGTGCATAATTCTCTCCAACCAAGAACGATCTTCCCACTCTCTCAGGCATTAGAAGATGGCTCTAGCAATAAGGGATTCATTTATTTCCATGCACCTATGATTTTGTTCCTAAGTGGTGTGAATGGTTATTGAGTATCTAAGTTCAAAATCAGGACTTCTCTTTTCCAAATGACTTAGCTCTCATTTTATTTTAGTGGTGAATTAAGAAGGCATTTTCTAGTATTTGTGATATTACTCCTATATAATGCTTGAAAAGAAAAGTAATTACTTAGCCAGATGGGTGGGAAAGGCGAAAAGATACCTTCTTATTGTTTTAAACTAAAACAAAGGACATATCTAAAATGCTTTGTGAGACAATCCTAGGATAGATGTTTCTTTTCCACGTTCCTGTATCACTCACACTAACTCTTTTAGTTGCCGACAAGTGAATCATAATCCATAGTATCTCGCGTATCATACTTTGGTGTGTGAGTGATGTAGACAAACACATTTCTCACTTCCCTCTTAAACACGAGCACCTGTATGTATGCATAACACTTTTTAATTGTTCATAGTTCTACATTAACAAAACACTCACTCAAACCTGCCCGATATTGACCGTTAATTCTAGGTCCACTTGAAAATTTAAATGAGGTAAGAATCCAGCCTATTAATAATTGAGAGTTAGATTTTGGTCTCCCAAACTTCTGTTGGCAAACTTGGAAGAAAAACAGGCAAACAGGGAAAGGAGGAGTGTCTCCCCAGAACTGTCAACCACCATATGCAATGCACTAATTTCTCGCTGCTTATTTTTTACTGTGATATTGATTCACGGGAAGTGACTCTGCATTACGCCTGGGTTATTAGAAGAGTCTTATTGCTTGGAGTTCATTCCTTAGATCTAAGCAGTATGTCAATGCATACACTTTTAAATTTTTCTTCCCTAGACCCAGGAAGAAGTTGAGTTCCTCTGTGAAAAGTATCTTTGCATGCAGTCAACTCTCTGCTTTAGAGCACCTCCCATGGTTTCAGCCCATTAACCCAAGCATAACAGCTTGATGGATTAATGCTTATATAGGCACAGTTGGCAGCTTCTAATTAAATAATTATGGCTAAGCAGCTGCACGGAAGCTGTTATGTACCCTAGAAAGCCAGCTGTCAGTTTTATTGGTCCTAAGACAGAGGAAGAGTTAACACTGAGCTCTGGATGTTGGGTGCAAAAGGGAAGAATACCGTTTGCAAGATATGTGCTGTTAGTGTGGAGTTCCTGTGCATCCGTGCTAGCCTGTCCATGGAGGCATGGAGAGCAAACTGCTCCTCAGCAACCTCCCAGCAATCCAACAAAGAAAGAAGCAATTGCATGATCAGGAGAACAGAGCCTGTCCGAGCAATCCAAAGAGGACATGGTGTTAGACAAATGAGCCTTTGATGAACACAGAAATGCCACCTGACTGAGCTAGTGGGCAAATATACTTCAGGTTGTGGGTCTCATGTATGTGAACAAGGGATTAGAAATCTAGTGTGGTCTTTCTGGGGAGTATATTACTGGCATGCTTTCATTTATTGAGCTATAGTTTCTTAAGATGCTATGTTTTCAAATATTAGAAACTGGAGAACATGGTAAATATCAAACTTACATCTGATCTATCTCTAAGAGATGCATTTTCCCAAAATGTTTGGAGAAGATATTTGTTCTTCAGAATCACAGATAATGTCAGATTCCCTTGCGGAAAGCTAAAAAGCCAGTCTTATCTCTATGCTAGTGGGAAATCCTCCAGAAGGAAGAAAGCAGTATCTGGAGATTAAGCTCTAACACGGAGGAAGATATAGATTATAGATAAAGGCCACACAGATGGGATTATTAGACCAAATGTTTATTATTGTCCATCAATACACTGATGAACTGCTAGCTGATTTCATTTTTCTCCATAGGCTGTTCCGCCTATGCAATTCATGTGTCTTCACTTCTAAAAACCAAAGGTGTGATAACCCAGGAGAGCACAACTCAGCTTCCCACTGACCTCATCCCCGAGGTTCCCAGCACCATCACCAAATGAATAAATACAACTGTCAGGAAAAAGACTAGTCCGAGAAACTTAGTCCTACTTTTATGTTTAAAGAAATTTAGACATTTTAATCCTCAATTCTGGATTTGCTTTAGAATAAGAATAGAGGAAATCCAATGTTAACACTGGAAACGTATTTCTTGTGGAATTCACTTTGCCCAACTCCCAGGCCTGCTGAAAATCAGCAGTTAAATCAAGCACCAAACAGTACAGGCTGATTTACTATTTCTTTTCCGAGATCAATGGCTCATAGTTTAGAATAATGCCATTTCAGAAAATGAGGCAAACTGCACCATACATCCATTTAAGCAAATGAACTGACCTCCAAGAACCCCTTACTTAACAGGCTTCAGTATAATTGTTTTCTTTCCTCTCTCCTTCAGGTTTCCTTTTATGTCAGTAATTCTATCACCTCAGCTATCTGAAGGTGTTTGATGTGATTGACAATTCTCAAGGATCTGACTTACTTTCAGATAGCTCTTAAAAGTTAAAAGTTCAGCTTAATTAAGTCTGCAGTGCAACTCAAGTCTCAGCACAAAATGGTAAAGAATCCAATAGCAGATTTGTAAAGCCCATAAAAGCAAATTTCAGACTTGGTGGGGGAGAAAAGGGGCCTTTCAGCAGCCTGTACTGCCATCTAGCCAAGACCACGTCCTTCAGTGCAACATCCACTTGTGTTTTCAAAGCCCCCGATCAAAGCAAGTCTTTAGCAACCAGCCTAATAGACCCTAAAGTTCAGCTAAATGAATAAACAGCTGTACTTCATCCACGCTGAGTCTACCAAGCTCCCATGGACCAACAACCAAGTTGTAATCATCAACCTTATCTTCCCAATTCAATGTCTGGCAAAAAAAAAAAAAAAAAGACATACATACTTGTTTTCATTTTACATATTACCTATACCACTATCATTGGCATCTTGTGATTTCTGTGACCTTTGAATATTCTGTAACTTCACTGGAAAAATGGATAAAAGTTGCTTTAGGTAAGACACCAGAGCTGAATTGCAACCTCTAATACTCTAGCTGTAATTCAAGAGTTAAAACAATCCCAAATCATATTCCTTAGATGTTGACAGAGCACATGGACCATATATACACCTGGGAAAGAGAATGGATACACATGAAAAATTAAGGGAATCCTTTGTACTTACGGTAGAAGACATATTCAGTGTAGCTTGACCAGATCTTGTCGTCTGTATACTGGTTGATGAAGGATGCCGTCACTGATGAGTTACAGGCCACCATGTGGAATCCACACTCTGACAACATATCAAAAGCCCTTTCCAGATGCTTGAATTTGAGATAAAATCTGGATGTGTATCTTTCCGGGGCTCGGTCAGGGTCTCTGCTCTCATTCAAAGTTTCTCCAAAGACCTCCTTTGCCAAGGAAATCCTTCCACAAACCAGAATCCTGGGAACTCTCCGAAACTTGGCATCTGCCTGGCCCTCCCTGCCCAAGGTGCAGGATCCCCTGTAGCCCACAGTAATGAAACCCCACTTGCGGTCGGCAGGGAGCAGTGAGGAAGGGGGGCAGATTCTCGTATCACTCCCCTGGGAGGCATCCTCAAAGTCACTGTGGCAGAATTCATCCGGGCTTTGCTTGATGTCATCGGGGGTCAGGAGTTTGACCAAGTCTGGGAGCTGGAAGTACTCAGCTTCCCTTTTCAGTCTTCCTTTTTCTGGAAAGTGATCAGGCAGGACCACCTGCCTGTCCCTGAGATAGTCCAGAATATAACGGAACAAGAATCCATCTCTGTCAATGAAAAACCTTCCCTTGGAGTCCTTGGCTAGATCGTTAGCCATGTCTCTCTTTGGGGAAAACATTTTCCACAGGAGGGAATGAGGGATGCTTACTAACGTGGAATGGCGAGTGAAATAAACTTGGCCCCCGACATTCAGCTCCACAACCTCAGGGAAGGAGTTGGGAACTGTGGCCCCTTGTTCTCGAGGATAGTAACGACTACAGTTTCCACTGAGAGCCATTGTCTCTTTCTTCTTCTTCTCCTATTTTGATGTAAGGGTATAATCTAATGGAGTCACAGCCTTGTGCTCTGCATCCACTTGTAAGGAAGGGAAAAGAATGCTAACTTGTTAAAAATGACCTCCTCTTACCCTAGTTTTTCCCCAGGAAAGCAAAATTTATAAGAGTCCACAGGTGAAGTGATGCTGAAAAAGTAGTTTAAACCCCGGCTGGTGGTGAGCTATTACTCCATGGAATATAATCAACTCATCTGCATCCAATTTTCCATCAAGCTCAGTAGGCAAGGCAGGCCAAGTCCCCAGCTACTCAGATGTCCATCTGAAGGAAAAGAGAAAAAATTATTTCCTCAAACCCAGAATGAGTCAGAAAGAGAGAGTCCTCTGGAGAGAGGAGAGGGAGGGAGGGAGGGAGAAAAGAGAGGGAGGGAGAGTTTTTTTTTTTTTTTTTTACATAAACAGTCCTAGAACTACTGATTTCAGCCATTCTCCAACTAAATCATAGCTCCTCTCATGCTATTTTGTGTCTACATGTTTATCCATAAGCCTCTGTCTCCAGTAATTAGTGCTGAAAACAGTTCTATTTGTAATTCTGCAATAAAAAGGAATATGCAATTTTCAACTTCTAAAAGGGAATCTTTTTTTTATTCCCCAGCTGGACAGGAAAAGCAATTAGTCTTGGAGCTTACCTTAGTGAGTGCTGGAGACCCAGTTCTTGTGAAGAAATAACCATTTGTAAAGCAATCAGAATCCACAGCCAGACTGAGTCTGGATCTTGCCAAATCCCAAACAGGTAAAAAGGACAGAGGTATCAATGAAAAGTGCCACAGATATGTGCTCTTTGAAAATAATTTATATATATATATTATATATGTGTGTGTGTATTTATATAAATGTATATTTTTATGTAGATATATATGTAGGTATATATTCACTCCCAATCTCAAGTTAAAGCAAGTCACCAAAAAGTTAAACCGTGATGAGAGGAGATTGGGTTGAAGAAGTAAAGCAAGAGAAAAACATTCAAGCAAAGCTCCTCCAGGAAAAACCGAAAAAACCATCAAACCTTCAGAAAGGATCCTTAAAAGAAAAGAGAGTTGCAAAGAGGTACCGGGACTTAGAAGCTTTTTAGAAAGCCGGGAAGCAGGAAGACGGAGAGACGCGCCCCGCTGGGGTCCCAGGTAGCCACCCCACCTGCCGGCAAGGGCAGACGGGCTCCCATGTTCCCAGGCAGGTGGGCGCAGGGCTGCCGGCGGGGGGCTCGGGGCTCCGGCTGGGCTGGCGGCGGAGCTGGGTGGCTCTCCAGTTCCCGGTGCAGTTCGGAGGCTGTTGTCTCAGCAGTGCAGGCAAGACACCATCCAGGGAGATGACTATTACATCATCTTAAAGGAATACGGCTTGGAGAAAGCGGAGGCAGCTCCGAGTCACGTCCTCCTCCGCGGTGACAGGTTGGCAGGACTGCGCGGGGACGCGGCGCTCGGGGTGGGCGCGCGGCCGGGCTGCAGGCGCCGGCTGGGGCGGGGACGCCCGCTGCGCCGCTTCGCTCCCTGTCCTGTCCGCCAGCCCGGAGTTTGCAGGGGCCTTTCTTTGCCCTTCCTGGCGTGCCTTTACCTCCCGCTGCACCGCCCCCCACCCCCCAGAGGTGAGGTAAACACGAGTAGTGCGTCTTCCTTGGAAACATCGACAGACAAGCCCTGTTCACATGCACTGAATTTATGCTGAAGGGCAAATTTCCCTTCTAAACCTTTATTTATAAAAAAAAAAAAAAATTGCATGGAATGACCCCAATGCTCAAACTATAAGGAGTTTGGGTTTTTTTGAATCCTTTGATTAAAACCACATCACTCACTCAGACGCCCTCTCCTTTTTCTCTCCTCCTTCCACTCTCTCTGCCACTACCACCCCCAGCAAAAATGAACACATACCTCAATAAATTGCTTTCTCCCTGGAATGAATGAAGCTCTTTCAGAATAAAGATGTGAAGCACTGGCACCCACAGAAGGCCCACAGTTGACACCAGTCGGTCATGGTCTTAGCTTACCTGCAAGAGACTGCTACCTGCCACCTTTTCCCGGGGCTGTTTCCTTGCTGAGCGTCTCTCTGGACGCGTCCCCACCCCCGCCCAACTCATCCCAAGAGGACCCTGGTGGAAGACACGCCTGCTAAAAGACATTTTACTCCTGTTCCAGAGGGCTCCCTTAAGTGCATCATTAGAGTTTCAGGAAGGCATTTCCAGGGCAACCTAATCCACTGGCAAAGTGCTTCCAGTTGAGCCTGCCAGTCAATAATGGCCCAGCCAACAGCTTACAGTAAGTCAGCCATTTCCCCCTGTGAAACGCCAGTGTCTTCTTAGGGCTCCCATTCCTGATGAGAATATAGTACTGGGTCCATGAATAATATATGTGAGGCACACTCCATCCAAAACAATTGCTATTTTTAAAAAAAACGAAAACCAAACATGGAGGGGAACGCAGGAAATTAGAAGCCCTTTATGAGACACGTGCGTTTATGGCCAACGCTGGCCCCAAGAATTAGCTCGAAGATACTCTCAACAGTAGGATACATTAATTTCAGGTTTAACAATCTTCTCTTCCAGTTGGGCTGCCGAACACAGAGTATTAGCTAAGATTCCAACACCTGATTGTATTTGACTTTGTTTCTTTTCACTATGGCATTAACCTGTTCTGGCCTCAATCATTAGGATTTTAATGCGGGCCCAATCAAGGCAATGTGTTATGTGATGCGCTGATGTCGCCATCTAGTGTCCTAACCTATCAGTGCAGATCTGTAGCTGGCTACTAAGCAAAAAAAAAAAAAAGATTTTCCTTTATTTTTAAATTCTTGTACGAATTTGAGTTCACTTGGCATGCACTATTCACCATAACAACAAAGTAAATATTTCATTGCCATCAGGTCAAGAAAAAAAAATAAGTCTGAACCTATGCCTATTAAGTGCTGCTTTTGTTTGTAAGGTATGCAAATGTTTTGTTTTCTTTTATTTCTAAGAGACTAGGCCAGTAAGCCAGGACAATAGCTTTGGAGCTTGGGTATTAAAATATTCCCTAGGCAGTTCGCTAAAGGCAGAGAGGGAGGGTAAAAAAAAAAAATCATGGTCTTTTAAAGCTAAAAGGGACTTGAGAAATGGAAATGAACCATCTCTTAGACATGCAGGACTGAGGGCCAGAGAGTGATCGTGCTTCCTTAGGTCACATAGCTGCAGAGTCACAAGGTGAGCTTTAGACCACTGCCTATTTAGGGTGATCAATGTACTGTTTTTAACCTCAGGTGTTCCTGAGCAGGGACAGGAAGGAAGCAAATAAAAAAACCAAGAAGAATCTCAAGATTACTACAATTAAAAAAAAAGAAAGAAAGAAAGAAAACAGCAAGTCATCTTAAACAGTTTTTAATATTAATTTATAGTTTAAAAAAAAGAGTATTCTGAATTTCAAAAAGGAAAAGTTCTGTTCATTGGTCTGGGTTTTGTCAGGTTATTTTTGAGACAAGTAGATTCTTAACCTTTTTGTTCTTTGTTTTTTGAAAATGGACTGCTTGGAGAATCTAATAAAACCTGGGAAATGAACCAACAAGAATAAAAGTTTGCATTCAGTGGCACGGCAGAGTATCCAGAAAGGCCTGAGTAAAGAGAATGAGGGGCAGAGGGGGAGACAGACGGCCAGTGATTCACATTCCCAGAAATCCTCACGTTTGGACTATAAAACTTCTTTTTCAAATGAGGCTATGCATCCACTCACGAAAACACACTCTGAGGATCGAAGAACGTAAAGCATTCACCTTAAGACAACCTTAACCTTATGACCCATGATTAGACCAAACCACCCCAAACACACCCTGAATTAGTATTTTTAATAAACACTGCAAATATCCTATATTTTGCACAGTCATATTACATTATATTGATTTGTATTAAAAGTGCTCACTTATTATAGTTAATATTTAAAGAAGCCAGCCCTCTTTAGGCATTTCTGGTTTTTGATCTACACGGAGCCTAAAGAAATTAAGGCTTCTCTCCCCTTCTGAGAGGGCAGGGATCTGGGTCAAGATTGGACTGGAGCCCATTTATTTATGTTGGGGTCCATAGATCTCAGGTTAACATCCCCTGATCTGTCCTTCTCCTTGTTCCTTTAGTCTCAACGATGCAAAAAAAAAAAAAAAAAAAAAAAATGAGCGGTGTCTCTATGATAATAAGAGAAAAGGGCTTGAAGGGAGAGAAAGCAAAAACCACACTCAGGAGAAATTTAAATAGGTGCTTAGAGAAATTTAAATAGTGCTAGAGTAAGCGAGTGTGTCTCAGGGAAGTTGTCAGTAAGCCCGGCTTTTGGTGCCTTAACAAGAGGCAAGAAGCCAATTCTAGGCTTTAAGTGTATTCCTATCCTTCGTGTCAGCAGATAACACTGCTAGTGTTATTATTCTCTTCTGGCAGCTATCTGCTGAAACATTGTGAGATGGCACTCTCGGCCCGAAGGCTGAACAACATACAGCAACAGATTTCTCTTAGGGGAAGAGCAAAGAATGTTCCATTCTGTTCTTTGTAATCTTCAAGCGTTATAACACATCAACACATACATTAGGCAAATTGTGAAACTGATAAAAATGTGTTTTAGCCTCTGTTTCCTCCTCTCTACTTTAGCACACCCCCATAGCTGAATGCCAAAGGGTATGTTCTCGAAAACACAATTTTAATTTTGACATAATGTGATCGCTCCCTCCATCCTCACCCTTAAGTTTCTTCTCCCCGCAAGCAGAGATTGCTTTTTATGCTGCTCCGAGGGAGGGAATTGATCTCATAAACTAGCTCATACTAAGACGCTGTGCACTCATTGTGTTATGGACCCCAAGGATTCCAGCACTACCATCATCATCGTAATAGCACATGTTTATGGAGGCCAAACATCACGTCCTCGCCACAGTCATTATCCTTCTTCCAGCTCTGCCTGAGCATCCGTGTGACGTTGGACAGGTGACTCGATGTCTCTGAGCCAGGGTAACAAGGTGTTGTGAAGGTTGCATATTATGATATTTATGATGCATATAAGAACTCTGGCATACTCCCTGGCTCTCAGTGAGTACTTAATAAATGCCATTAGTGTCCAGAATAGTGGTAAAAGCAGTTGGATTCATTGTCATTGGACTCTGAGTGAGGCATAAAAGAATTATAAAGGATGCCCAAACACTGGAATTGGGTTTTACTTCTGAAATCTCTACTCTTCTTAATATGAAATTTCAAGTGAGGACTATTGCCTGTTATAAATGTATTTATTATTCATAGGGGAATTTGGGGCTTTGGTGGGGGAGATGGGGTGGCAGAATGGGAAACTGAAAATAATCAGTATCCCAATAGTTAAAAATGAAAATACCACCCTCTTTTGCCAGGCAAGGTTATTTTCCTGGTACCCATTCATTCATACCACATGGGTTTATTAAGTGCCTTATGTTGCACCCAGCACAGTGCTCGGTAGTTGAGATGCAAAGCCAGCTCTGATACAAGCTCTGAATTCAAACACTCACATGCAAACACACTCAAACTCCAAATCATACCAATGGAATAAAAAGATTTCAAAGTTATAGAATCTTGGGCACTGCCATTTATTTGCAGAAATGTGCGTGATGCTGTATTTAGCCTTTGGTTCTACATAGTTCACGTATGATTTAGACAAACCACTTAACCTCCGGTGGCCTCTGCTTCTGTATCTATAAAACAAAGCTGTTTCCCCTTAAAGAGACACCCGTGAAGAATGACAGTATAAAGATCAAATGCAGCTGTCAAATCTTCAGTCCTGCTAGGAAGTAATTTGCTGTGTAAGAAACAGAGGAAGAAGGCAGCAGACAGCAATCTTTCCTGTTAATCTAATGCCTAACAAGAAAGAATTGGGACTAGATTTGCATCATCTTAAAGTTGAAAGGGGAGATTCTTCCAGGCCGTTCCACTCCAGCCGGATTCGGCTAAAAGTGTGAGATAATAATAGCAGGTGTTCAGTTGACTCATTTCTTGCATAGTCTTCTTGAAAATATTTTTGAACTCTGCTGTCATAAAACACAAATGAAAGCAAGAGCTATTGGTATCAACATGGAGCCTCTGAACAGAAGTCTATAGGAAAAGGTTCTTCTAAGCCGACTAGCATTTTGAGATCTGGTCTTGTAAAAAACAATTACACTGCTCAAAAAAAAAAACAACAACAAAGTACTGCTGTTCAGGTATAAAGGCAACATTGTTGACTGTATTAGTAGGGCCTAAAGTTGGTGGAGTGTGTGACTGTGTGTGTGTGTGTCTGTGTGTGTTTGTAGGAAAGTACACATTTCTATAGTTGATATAGATGTGAAGTCACCTCTTAAATTTCTGTTCAAAACAAGGAAAATTTTCTGCAAAAAATAGCCAGAGTTGGTGTACAATTTGGCTATGAAGTCAAGTCAAGCCAACTCCC